ATAATTAAATTGAATTTTTATATAAACCTATGATTTGAGACCATTTGATAACAATTAAGAGACAAACTCTTCATCCAATTCGATGTCTTCTTCGAGTCTCTCGAGGACTGGCATCGAAGCCAACAGTTCTGTCTGTTCGTCAGGCAATAAGACAAACCGGGGTGATCTGAACCAGTTGGGGGTCAGGGGTTGACCCAAATGGTGAACCATACACCGCACCCACACCTTCTCCTGGTTATTGAGGGTCACGTGAACCGCCAAATCCTTGCCCTCTTTGCCGGCAATGTCTGGTCCAGTGATGGCGGTGTCGGGCAGTTGTATGGCTTCTTCGGGCACAACATAACCGGCTTTCCTGAAGGCAAGCCTAATGTGCCACTTCTGGAGCACCCATTCCTCCTTGTCGTTCATCTCAACCAAAACCACTTCTTTGGCTAATCGGCGAACCGTTGTCATGACGAACGCCGAGGAGGGCCCCACTCTGTCCTTCGCGCCCGACTCTATCAGATCCTTATATTTCTTCAGATTATAATCGCAATAATAATCGGCTTTTTTGGCGGATATCAACTGAAAGCGTCCGAAAGGGACACTCACTTCCACTATATCTCCGGGAACTCCGAGTTCTTCGACGTGTTTCAGAAGAATCACTTTCATTACACCCAATGGTCTGGCGTTTGAGTCCTCCAACACATCATAGATGAAGTCGCGCTCATCTCTTGGCTCCTGATAGTGGATGATGTCGTTGAAGAGCGGACCGACTATCAGCTCGTTCTTCAGTCTCTGGCTATAAAGGGGTCGAGTCTTGCGCTGAAATATTATTGCGGATCTCTTTTGGCTGTAATTCAGACACAATTGCATTGATTTCAATGATAATAACCGTTTGATTAGCATTTCGTCTCAAAAGACACTCAAATTGTCTGAAAAGCAAATTCAACACAAGTTTTGCATTTAATTTCAATGTTTGCGTAAAAAAGCGTTGTTTTGATGGCAAGGGTTGTGTGAATGGGAGGGACGGGAGGGACGGCTGACTCGCAGTGTGTTTGTTATGGACGGAGACGTCATTAATGACTGGTTTATGGGTTTTGAGTGGAAATCAGCTGAAAATAAGTCAACAAATATGTCGTCTTTTGGTTGCATTGAATGCATCGACAAATGAGTCGACCATTCAGTCCATGAATGTGTGTTTCAATGCATTTTAGACGCGATTTTTGACTATATTTTACTAATTACTCATTCATTGCAAACAAATCATCACTTTTTATAAACACTTTTATAACTCAAACATAGTTTACACGAAATTTTAATGACAAATGAATGGATAAATCATTGTTTATATTGTTTTCATTCATCAAAACCAATGCAAACATTAATTGCAATGAATTTGTGTTGAAATCAATTCTCAGATCAATAGGTATTTGACAGGAAAACCACTGAAACGATGCATTCATTCAGTGATTGTCTTGTATTTCAGTGCTTTTACTACTGATTGACGTTTCACTGCAATCGACTGCGAGGAATGAGAGCCACAAGACGATTAAGATATTGGATGTGGTGCTGTCCAACTCGGGACCTCCTTTGGCACCATTGCCTCCCTTCCCCTCCACGGACTCCAAACACACCATAAACTCCAACTGCGAGAGAGTGGAGGAGTTGTCTGCCATCAGGGGCTCCATCCAGAGTCCCAATTATCCCAACGCTTACCACAATCGCACCTCTTGTCAGTGGGATATCCAGGCCTTCCATCCCAATCATATCATCACAATTAGGTAGACATCCAGACATCCCTTGGTTTCCATTAACACTCACTTTTCTTGCCAACAGTTTCGATGACTTAGATCTTGAGATTCCCAGAGATTCTGACAAATATTGTACTCAAAACTCAAATCAAAAGTCTTTGACGAGTAGTGAAGACGTTTGTTGTTATTATTCATGGATTAAGATCTTCTCGGAGTCGGACGCAGAGCACAAGTATTGCGGTCGCAGTGAAGACAACGGCCTTATTCTCAAGCCATTCATCTCCACCTCAAGCCGTCTGTCGATTAAGTTTCATACGACTACGCGATTGGGCGGCGGCCGAGGCTTTCACTTGTCGTACATAACGGGTGCCGCGAAGTCCGCCAAATGTAAATCAGATGAATATCACTGTCGGAACCAGAAGTGTATTCCAAGCAAATGGAAGTGCAATCGAAGGGATGAGTGCGGCGACGGATCAGATGAACTCAACTGCGATGACATCTGTTTGGCCGCCAATCAGATGAGATGCGGATCAGACAACAACCGGAACAGAGGTTCTGTGGGCTGTTATACGTTCCCCACGCAGAGGTGTAACTCCGTCTGGGACTGTGACAACGGCGCTGATGAGAGGGGGTGTGGCGGGTGTCCACAAGACATGTTTGTCTGCAGAACTGGTCAGTCGTGTTATAGTGATAGCAAGAGATGCGATGGAATTATTGATTGTCCGGACTTTACCGATGAGTTGAACTGTGGTCTCTGTACCCA